TGCAGATGGTGACAGCAGCCACGAAATTAAAAGACACCTGCTTTTTAGGAGGAAAGTGATGACAAAGCTAGACAGCATCTTAAAAAGCATAGTCAAAGCAATGGTTTTTCCAGTAGTGATGTTTGGAAGTGAGAGCTGGACCATAAAGAAGGCTGACCACTGAAGAATTGATGCTTTTGAATTGTGGCATCTTGTGCTCTTGAGAGTCCCTTGGATTGCAAAGAGAACAAACTTATCCATTTTGAAGGAAATCAACCCTGAGTGCTCACTGGAAGGACAGATACTGAAACTGACGCTCCAATACTTTGGCCATCTCATGAGAAGAGAAGACTCCCTGGAAAAGATGCTGATGTTGGGAAAGTGTGAAGGCAAAAGGAGAAGGGGACAACAGAGGACTAAATGTTTGGACATTGTCATCGACGCGACCAACATGAATTTGATCCAACTCTGGGAGGCAGTGGAAGACAGGAGGGCCTGACGTGCTCTGGTCCATGGGGTCACGAAGAGTCAGACACAACTTAATGACTAAACAACTACAAAATACTGAAAAAAGGATAAGCCTAAAATACTGCACTGAAATTATCATAACTGAGAGAAATAAGCATGTGCCCCAGAAAAAACAAAAAAATTATGGAATATGACCAGGCGATGACCCTTAGAAAAGCAGCCCACAGATAGTTCCTTCTTGATCTCACCTCTAGTCTACAGTATTATTTGGTAAAGACTTTTCCAGACCTTTGAACACCATGGCCTCTAGCAATTTATATCAAGCCAGGGCAGTGGTACAACCCTGGATCGCCTTAATCCCATACAGCCCCTGCCGTAATGAAGGGAAGACAGGAGTCACATATACTATTATAAAGACCTGGGTAGGTCTTCCTACATTTTATGCTATATTCCTTCGCCATGGAAAAAGCCACCATAAAAGCTTCTGAAGTTAGTGTCTTTGTAAGGGATCATGTTAGATGTGTACTTATCACAATTTTCTGTTTATTTCTTCAAGTGCTCTCCCAAGTAATAGAAGATACCTGTATGTCACAGCATGTAATTTCCCCCATTTTAGATCAAACTGAATCGTAAGGAGAATATGTGCTTCCTGACGTGGTTATCCCATTTTCCCTTTGACAACTAGATTTCTTCATAGGTAGATGTTTGTGGTGATCGCCCCACGTCACTCCTGTCAATCACATTCAGGGTCTCATTTACATGAGCATATGAGAGGAGTGGAGGGCTGGAGTCAATAAAGAGAAGGGACTTGGTAAGAGGGAGAAGGGGGAGAGAAATTGCAGAGAAAGAGATATATAGTCAGGGAGATAGTAATAAGAGCTAATTAATAGTGATAAGCTAGTTAAGATCAATAAATATGGTAGGTGGTGATTGTTTATGTGGAAAGTATCTGACACTTGAATGGTTTGATTGTAAGAATTAAATAAAGAACATCTGTGATCCTGAGTAACTTTTATACACCTTAATCAATCAATCACTCAATCACTCACTCAATCAATCAATCAATCAATAACATTTGTTGGCAGTCATCAGACAAGTGTTTGTCTACAGTTCTTGGTATTGTGGATAAAAGTAAATCCACTGGTTGCAGCGAGGAAAAGAAACGTCTCAAGTGGTCAGAAGGCAAGCTCCTTGTGTGGTGAAGCAGGCAATACCTGTATGTCACAGCATGTAATTTTCCCCATTTTAGATCAAACTGAATCGTAAGAAGAATATGTGCTTCCTGAGGTGGTTATACCATTTTCCCTTTGACAACTAGATTTCTTCATACGTACATGTTAAATCAGGAGTGGGAAACTCTTGAAGGCTCTGCAATAGAGATGGGCATGAACCACTGCTTCAGAGAACTGTGCCTGTTCTTTCATGGCTGATCAGATACTTGCTGCTTTAAAGCCCCGCCTCCCCCGGCGGGCATCCATTCAGAGACAGCACCTGGAGAGGTGAGGCATGGAAGCCAGGTCACTGCCTTCAAGTGGAGGAGGTGGGGCTTTGAAGTGCCAGGCACCTGTTCGGCCACTAAACAAACCAGCACAAACTACTGAACTGGCAGTACATGCCCATCTCTACTCTGGAGCCAAATGTTTGTTCCCAACACTCACCATGTGTCAGAAAAAGTAGGGGGAAATGAAATTTTTAAAAACCACATATATACCCCTATGATTTTATTGGTGTTTTGCTTTGTGTTTGTTTGCTAGTGGTCCTGTAGCATAAGTTTTAGTTTGCTTTCATGTCCATCAGCATTCCATTTTTTCCCCCCAATGTGTAGATGAAGGCGCTTCTCTCCATCCCTGTGATGACACATACTGTGGTCCTTTCCCTGAATCAGAGCCTGAAGTGAAGGCTGTAGCTCACTTTCTTCGCCAACACCGGAAACAAATGAAAGCTTACTTGTCCTTTCATGCATATGCTCAGATGCTGTTATATCCATACTCGTACAAGTATGCTATGATTCCAAATTTCAGCTGTGTGGTAAGTACAGAATTTGAAGAAGCTTCTATCTGTGCATGCCATTTCTGCTCTTTTAGAAGAACAAGGGAAACAACCTCTTCTTTGAGGACAGGTATTTGATCAGGATTGTTGAAAGAGAAACAACAGTGTCAAGAATAAGATTCTAGAAAATGGTAGGAAATAAAAGCCCCAAATGGCATGACAGGAAAGTAGGACTGAGACATGAGCTAAAAGCAAAAAAAAAAAAAAGTGAAAAGAACAAAAGAAAGAAAGAAAAAGAAAAGGGAGAACCCCCCCCCATGTGTTTGTTTGTTTTAATCTCAGTCCTGACTCTCTTTTATTGCCTCCTAAAGCATCAGTCACTGCTGCTTCTGCCATTCATATAGCTATGCTAAGATCTGTTCTGTGGGAGGAGAATGTATTATGGGAATTGCTAGGCAACAGATGATGTGCTGTCACTATTCCTGCTACTTCAGGAGTGAAGTTCACAGCTAACCCAAGTGATGTCGTGGACTGCAAGTATTTTCAGGGGCACAAAATAGAAATGAGACAGAAGGTACACTCTGTTTCTGCTGTAATGTCACAAAGAAGACTAGTGAACCATTCTCAGTTCGTAAAATCATAGAATAATGGTTGGGAGTTCAGTTTTCTCACTGTGCACCCCAGAAGAGCCAACCTCTGGAGACTTGGGCAAGTGGCACAATCCAAATATGCCCCCCAGAAGAATGGAATAGTAAACATCCCCTGAGTATTCTCTACCTGGAAAACTTTGGAAAAGGGTTGCCATTAAGTCAGAATTGACTTGATGGGACATGATTATTGTTATAAGGCCATTGAGGCACGTGCCGTTCCAAAAGAGAGTTGTGCCCCAGCATCTAGTCACAGTGTAAGGGATCATGGGGTCATGTCTTGGCCTATTTCAAAACTGCATAGAATTTTGCCAAATAATTTTTTTTCTGGCTTTAGTACCTAGCTGCCTGCCTGCCTGCCTGTTTAGTTTGCTGCCTTTTCTCCAGAACTGGGATCCAAGGCAGCCCACAAAACAGTTACAATTGTGCCTTGAAACAGAACAGTTGCCAGCTATGCTGTTGTAGGACAAGAGATATTTGTTCCATGTAACTGGTCCTTATAGCTCTAGTCACTACAGCTAGCCAGATGTGTTCGCCACTAATCCTGACTTTCTCCTGAGGGGGGAAAAAGCCTTGATTGTTGATACCATGTAGGACTTCATTGCCACTCTAAGTAATCTGAGCCTCTGCCCTCGTCCCCAGCCCTGCATTCTGAGCACATTGACATTACCGGCTCAGTTGCCAACACCTCATCTCAAAGATAAACATACAACAGAATAATGCTCACATATTAAGAGACACATCACAAGACTTTGTTGCTCTGCTTGCATGTTTATGGAGAGAAGAAGAGAGCCTTGAAGAAAGGTCACAAGCCATCAGGTGCAAAAGAGAACATTTACACAATGAATGAAGAGCCATCCAGCTCCTAAGGACAGCACAGTTGCCTAGGAAAGGAAACAAGGCACCTTTACCCAGTGTCTTCAAAACAAACCATGTAAGATGTGGTTTCAGCTTATTGTGTACATGCAATGAACTGCACTGAGCTGCGAAGCAGAGTGACAAATAATTTTCCTCCCCCTTCCCTTCCCTTGGGGTTGTCTTCACAAGTCCCTCAGATTTAGTTTGGATGTTGAGATTGGCCAGCAGATGAAAGCTTTTCCATAGGCTTTAGTATTCAGAAATGAGGGGACTCTTTAATAATTCCTGAGTTGAAAGCAAACAAGCTTCTGTCCAGCTTACTCCACAGAATACTGCTGCCAGTCACTCTTTGAATTAATGTGTTCAATTATTTAGGTCTTTGAAACCAGAGACCAGGACATACAGCTCCCCACATTTCAGCCTTCTCTTAGCCTGTGTTTTGCATCCAGCGTAGAGTGTACTTGTGCTGCTTATTTCAGTATTCAAGAGATATTGTTATTTGAATATATGTTCAGATGGTTTTCTTCAATAACTATGGTCATGAGGCCTGTAGTGTAGTTGTGAGGCAGTGTTTCTAATGCACACTTCTCTCTCATAAGATATATGGGACCAGAGACAAATTTACAACAAAACCTGATTTATGTATATTATATGTAGAATTAAAACATGTTTTGACAAAAGGGTGGATGTCATCATATAATGAGGGTTTTTTTTAAAAAAATTATAACATTAGCCTTGATGGAGCACAAGCAGTTTCCTCCCTAACAAAGATAAGAAAAGTTACTCTTTTTTGGTCCAGGACTCCCAGCATTCCTTGGTCAGCACGGCCGCTGGCTGTTGAGCATTCTGGCTGACATATTTTGTATACTCCAAAAGAGTAATTTTCTCCATTTCGGTACTGATATGAAAAACTAGCCCTGAAACTCAGCAAAGGTGCTGTATTGTGGTCATCTATGCCTTTCTAGATGAGTCACTCAACCATCACATATGCACCTGTTCAAAGAAATGCATCCAAAACAGAAATTGTCTGATACATTTATATCCATAATAACTGGGTTCACAAGAGTCAGTGACCTCTAATCTCACAAATAAGGTAACAGATGTGGAACTGCTGGCAAGTTTCCATTCAGGAACCTAGAATCTGTTTCCACATGACAGCAGCTGTGTTCGCTGAGCCTCATGCTTCATATTCTCTAGTTCCCCTCAATCGGCATAACAATAGTGCTTTATTCAGCTGTTCTGTCCAAAAGAATTCAGAGCAGTAGCTCTTAACCTTTATTGGCTCACAGAACCCTTTAAGGATCTGGTGAAACCCCTGATTCCCCTCATGAGAAAAATGCACCTAAGCAGCTGCTAAATTATCTGTACAATGAGACGTGTCATTTCGAGCACAGGGGGGGGGGGGGAACGGTGTATACATTTGATGTGTGGACTCCTGGTACAGAGAGAGCCAGAGACATGTGCTTCTCACCCATGTCCTCTATTCTTGACCTCCCTGATTCATGGGGGAAAGTCTGAAAAGGAGCACTAACCATGTTACAGGACTCTACAGTAGTAGAGCCTGGGGAAGGTGGGGAGGACGATCCAGCTATTTCTGTACAGTACACATTCTTCAACGGCCATCAGTTCATTATTTAGTTAGTTGGTATGATCAGAGTCAAATTAGATAATGTTCGAATTTCATTGGAAGTGATGTTTTATTTAAGTGGTAAAATACACCTATTTGCAATAAATAGCACATTGTAGCGAACAGCCCTGCCCTCACCTGTCCATCATAGTAGAACAGTGAAGAAGGAGCCTATGAGTGGGCGGAAGGCAGAGCCAAGGGGGGAGGGAGCTGAATATAAGGCTGGTGTATGGAGTCGGGGAGTGAGAGACAGTGTGTAACTTGAAAGTGTCTGGAAATTGAGTTAGAGATCTATAAGAATGATAATTGAAACAGAGGGTTAGAAGAGTTTTAAAGTTATATCAGATGTGATTCAAATACAAGTGATTGGCAGCCTGTGATTTATACCATGAATATTCATTGTTTGTTTACTTCCCTGAGCAAATAAAAGACTTACGTTTTGAACAGCACTCTTGTCTCTATAAGTAATTGATATTAAAGAATTAATATCTGGTGGCAGCAAAAAAGAAGAGCGAGAACCTTGTGAAGACCTGGGGGGATAGGGACTTTGGAGGGGATCGCCACATACATACTTTCCTTTTCCTCTGTGTCTTGTATTTTCTGTGTTTTGTTTTATGACTGGTCACTGAATCATGATCATCACCATATGCCTTCAAGTCAATTCTGACTTGTGACATCCCTTTTCAGAGTTTTCCAAGTAGAACGTACTCACAAGTCATTTATCATTCCCTTCTCTTGAGGGCATCCGGGGACTGTGCAACTTGTCCAAGGCCACTCAGGTTGGCTGTTTGAGATGCACAGTGGAAAATTGAACACCTCGTCTCTGGCTCTACAACCAGATACCTAACTGACTGAACTTCCCAGCCAGCTACTGAAAAATGAACAGAGCCTTAATTTTAGAACCCATGCATTTATCTCTGAAGAAATTGTATTGTGGGAGCAAAAACAAGATAAATGTGTTTTTTCCTTAATATCCAGTTTGACTCCCTCTGTAAATTATTTATTTTAGATATTTTTAGCCCGCCTTTCTCCTTGATATAATCAGAAATGGCAACAATGGTTGGAAAATCCACTTTAAATTACATGCATGTACCATGTACTTGAAAGCGCAAGTTTTCCTTGGATGTCTCTTCTGAGTAGAGATTGCTGCCATGGAAGACACCCTAAATCAGGGGTACTGCTCATGGATTCTGCCTTTCCAAGTGGCACTTCCCCAGGACAATATAGAATCCTAAATTAGATGCCCCTTTTTTGTCCCATAATTCGATCCAGGGTGGGTCAAATTATGAGTGGACCCATTCTGCCATAAGGCACCTCATTCCAGCATTTCTAATTTGTGGGATTAAAAGACATGAGTCTCCTATGCTTTGATCCCCTTTGGACCTACAAAGACAACTGTGCTTTCAGTGCTGTATATAATTTCAAAGTGAGCTTAGCAGAAAGCAGAAGAAACATGCTGCTTTATGCTTTCTTGCAAAAGTATAGTCAAGGATAACCTCCCTATAATGTCAATGTTGGAATTAGTATCTACAGATCTATATTATGCATTGGCTGGTAGGCAATGTGTCTTAGAATTTTGCTCATTTATGGAACAGGTGACTCATACTGCATTCCAGGGTGGGATAAGTTATGCATTCACAAGGGGGAAGATGTTTAAGTCAGAAAGGCAGACAGATAGACGGGCATGTTTTAAATTATTTCATGTTATCTGAAATATCAGATGAAGTACAATAATAAATGTGCTTTTGTTTTCTTTGGGGGTGTGCATTTTACTTTCTACACAGGAATCTGCAGCCTTTAATGCTGTCAATGCCTTGCAGTCTGTTTATGGGATAAGATACCAATATGGCCCTGCCTCCAGCACCTTGTGTAAGTTCCAACAAGCTATTTTGGTGGGTAGATGGGTGTGTGTGCCATACATTGTGCTCATTCTCATTTAAGCCATGCAAACAATTTGAAGATAACTTTGTTCCATCTAACACAATTAGAGTTAAGAAAGAGAACGTTGTAAGCCCTGCAATCCAGCATGTTATGGTCAGGCTGCTGATATTGCCTCGTATTTTGTAACTCGTTCAGGATAAGTGTGTAAGTGGAGATTTCAGGATTAGTCGCACAGCTCTAAAGAGGCAGAATTCTTCCTGGTTATTTTGCTTCTCTGTTCTTCCATATGTCTACCTTCTGTATTTGGTTTTCTTCTCCTTTCAAGGAAGAGAAGCTCCTTCCTACTGTCTGTTCTATCCAGAACGCTTTAACCTTTTCTGGTAAGCCAAACCATGGATAAGCATGACTGGAGGAAACAAAGCAGGAGCTGATAGACTGTATGTGAAGTTCAGAAATGTGACTTTCCAAAAGATGAGTAATGCAAGCTAGCATTAAAGGTAAAGGTAAAGGTTCCCCTTGACAATTTTTGTCCAGTCGTGTTCGACTCTAGGGGGCGGTGCTCATCTCCGTATCCAAGCCATAGAGCCAGCGTTTGTCTGAAGACAATCTCCTGTGGTCACATGGCTAGTGCAACTTAGACACGGAACGCTGGTACCTTCCCACTGAGGTGGTCCCTATTTATCTACTCACATTTACATGCTTTCGAACCGCTAGGTTGGCGGGAGCTGGGACAAAGCGACGGGAACTCACTCCGTCGTGTGGATTCAATCTTACGACTGCTGGTCTTCTGACCCTGCAGCACAGGCTTCTGCGGTTTAGCCCGCAGCAGCACCACGTCCCTGGGAAGCTAGCATTAAACAAACACAAAACAGAAGCAGTAAACACCATTGAGACTGTATTTTACTACCTAACCCTTTTAGTAACTTTTATGGAAGGAACTGTGCTCCTATACTTTGGCAATGTTCATAGACCATTTTACACCAATAAAATATGTCTAGATTGAGAAAATGCATTATCTATAGACTTCTCTCTATTTTCATTTTAAAACTGCCTTAATGCTTTGGTTTCCAATGTGTTCAGCAGATCAAACCAAGCCAGGGAATTACATGAATCATTGGAATGTAAAGCCACTGAATTTCTTTTCTCACACTTGTCTGGAGAGTTGCATTCACGTTCTGCTTATTATTGAAAAATCAGATTTTAGAGATCTTGTATGCTTCTGGGAAATATATGAATTTTAATATTTTGTAAAATACTTCTTGAAGATTTTTTTTTCATCTTCAGAAAAACTGTGCTTTTAACTCCAAATGTAAAAACAACAGCCCAGAGTGATGAACTGGCAGTTCAATATGCTTTACAAATATATAATAAGCCACTACATGTCAGAGTTGACAATAATGGACTGGACATATCCACAATCTGACTCAGTACAAAGCTGCCTATGTTTCTATGAACAAGTTGCATCCTATTGTGCTGAGCCAGAGCTGGGAAGAATTTTTTTTAGGGGGGCAACAATTCTCAGAATTCCACAAACAGCACAGCCTAGGTGATGATGGATGTTATAATCCAGAAAATACACTTTTTTCCTACTCTTGTCAGCCACATGGTCTGTACCATGTCATGTCACAATTACTGTACTAGAAATATATATATTAAAAGGCAAAGGTTCCCATTGACATTTAGTCCAGTTGTGTCTGACTCTAGGGGGCAGTGCTCATCGCTGATTTCAAGCCACAGAGCCAGCGTTTGTCTGTAGATATTTTCTATGGTCACGTGGCCAGTGTGAGTAGACACAGAACGCCGTTACCTTCCCACCATGGTGGTACCTATTTATCTACTCACATTTTTTCAAGCTTTCGAACTGCTAGGTTGGCTGGATCTGGGACAAGCGACGGGAGCTCACTCCGCCATGTGAATTCGAGGGTCAGCCCTCTTTATGGTCCTGCTCTCATTTCCATACATTGATACTGGAAAAACCATAGCTTTGACTATGTGGACCTTTGTTGGAAAGGTGATGTCTCTGCGTTTTAAGATGCTGTCTACGTTTGTCATCACATTCATCCCAGGAAGCAGGCGTCTTTTAATTTTGTGGCTGCTGTCACCATCTGCAGTGATCATGGAGCCCAAGAAAGTAAAATCTGTCAGTGCCTCCCCTTCTATTTGCCAGGAGGTGGCCATGATCTTAGTTTTTTTTTTCTGTTGAGCTTCAGACCATTTTTTTTCCACTCTCTTCTTTCACCCTTATTAAGAGGTTCCTTAATTCCTCCTCACTTTCTGCCATCAGAGTGGT